ATGGGGGGGGTGTGACCCAGAGGCCAGTGTCCGTTGGGTGGGCAGCCTGGAATGTCACCCTTCCCCCACCAGGTTCCTGGGGAACTGGGAGTGAGAGCTAGATAGGGGCCCCTCACCGCGGGAGCTTGCGCCTGTGGGGGCCCTGTCTGGTGGCCAGGCTGCCTGCCTGCCTGAATCCACGGCCTGTTTGCAGAAGGCTCTGGACAAAGCAGGCCTAGTGACTCACCTCCATTTCCGGGCCTTATTCATTCCCAGGCACAACCCCCCCTCCCCCCCGTGCACCCCCTCCCCCATAGGCTTGGCATCAGCGGGCTGGTGGGGCTGGGAGGCAGCCCCAGCTTGAGCCTGGTTGTCACAGCAACAAGCAGCCTTTCCCGTGACTGAGAGGGCCTGGAGCTGCAGGTTCCCCCGACTGTCCCTTCCCCCATCGTCGTTTTCAGGAAGAGAGTTCAGAGATCCCACGAGGTGGCCAGGCAGGGTGTCCAGTGGGTTCCGTGGTCTGGCACATGCCACACACCCCCAACTCTTTGTCTGGAAAGAGGAGGGTTCCACCCCACTTCCCGATCAGGACCCAGAGGACCACATCTAGGTCTCGGGCTGTAGGCTGGCCTCTAAGGAGCACTCCCCCTGCCCCTGAGGCCCGGATTCTCAGTCATGGCCACCCTCAAAGTCACAAGATCACCTTTTTGTTTTGTTTGAGTCGGAGTCTCACTCTGTCGTCCAGGCTGGAGTTCAGTGGCACACTCCCAAGCCACCGCAGCCTCGACCTGCTGGGCTCAGGCGGTCCTTCCGCCTCAGCCTTCCAAGTAGCTGGAACCACAGGCATGTGCCACCATGCCCAGCTAACTTTTTTGGTTTATTGTAGAGACAAGGTCTCACCAAGTTGCCCAGGCTGTTCTCAAACCCTTGGACTCAGGCAATCCTCTTGCCCCTGCCTCCCAAAGTGCTGGGATTACAGGCGTGAGCAACCATGCCCGGCCCAAGGTCACCTTTTAAAAATACGGGTGCCCAAGCCCTGCCCTGCACCTGCTAGATGAGACTCTCCCAGCTGGGGGGTGTGCAGCCTCCCCCAGATGACCCGATGCACAGCCAGGCTTGAGAAACCCTGACCCTGAGGCCCTGCCCTGCACTGGGATGGGTGGGGTCGGGCTGGGTAGGATGCCCACGGTGCCCCATGGGCCTGTCCACCTGCTGCCCCCACAGTGAACACCAGCCCTGAGCCTGGGATGAGATAAAACCTCATTCTTATAAGACCTCTCAATACTCAGACTCTTATTAAAGTCCCCTGGAGTTATAATATAGGTGGGTTTGGGTTTTTTTAGTTTCTTTTTTTTTTTTTTTGAGTTGGAATCTCACTCCATCACCCAGGCTGGAGTGCAGTGGCACGCTCAATGCCACCCTGGCATCGACCCGCTGGGCTCAGGTGATTCTTCCACCTCAGGCTTCCAAGTAGCCGGAACTACAGGAGCACAACCACACCTGGCTAATTTTGATTCCTTGTAGAGATAAAGTCTCACCAGTTTTTAAAATTTCTTTGCTCCTTTCTCTTTTGGAAAATGCTTAATTAAAAGCAAAAGGTGCTGTTGGTGGTCAGAGAGGGGGAACCTGCATTTGAGGACAAATCAAGAAAGGCTTCCTGAAGGAGGTGGTATCTGAGCTGGTTCTTGAAGGACTCAGATATGAGGAAGAAGAGAAGGGGGAAGGATTCTACAGAGGCTGCAAGAGAGGGTGAGAGGGGTGAGCCCAGGGCCCAGGACTAGATTCCGTAGGTCGGAGTTTGTAGCAGGGAAGGTGGGGCCCTGAGCCAAACCCACCACTGGGGCTTGTGGGAACGGAACAAGAGGGGCCAGGTCATGTCTCCTTGGACCACACGGTGGCTCCCACCTGCCATCCCTTTCTGGTTTTTCCTTTCTTTTCTTTTTTCTTTTTTTGAGTTGGAGTCTCACTCTGGCACCCAGACTGGAGGGCAGTGGCCGCTCCCGGCCACCGCAGCCTCGACCTGCTGGGCTCCGGCGATCCTTCTGCCTCGGCCTTCCGAGTAGCCGGAATTACAGGCACGCGCTACCACACCTGGCTTATTTTTGATTTATTGTAGAGATGAGGTCTCACCAAGTTGCCCAGGTGGGTCTCAAACCCACGGCCTCAGGCAATCCACTCACCTCAGCCACCCAAGGCACAGGATTACAGGCTGAGCCACCGAGCCCGGCTTGGTTTTTTCAATTGGATGTAGTTGTCCACATGAAACACCTGGATCCTGCTTCCAGCTCTCCGGGAACTCCAGCCCCGCGTCCCTCCTGCCTGTCCTCTACTCCTACTGGGCACAGGCTCTCCAGCTGGCCCATCTGCTGATCGCCGGAGCCCAGCAGGTCGAGGCTGCAGTGGCCGGGAGCGTGCCACTGCACTCCAACCTGGGCGACAGAGTGAGACTCCGACTCAGAAAACAAACAAAAGGTGACCTTGTGACTTTGAAGGTGACCGTGACAGAGAATCATGGTCTCAGGGGCAGGAAGAGGAACCTGCCCTCCTTAGGGCAATGGTCCTCTCTGGGGCCGGCCCACAGCCCTGCAGCTCTGAGGCTTAGGTGTGGTCCTCTGGGTCAGCGCCCACCCGGTGCCCTGGTTGGGAAGGGGAGGCGGAACCCTCCTCTTTCGAGACAAAGAGTTGGGTGTGCGTGGCACGTGCCAGGCCAAACAACTTACTGGAAACCCCGCCCATGGCCACGCAGGGAACACGCTGCATCTGGATGTTATAACAGGTGAAGTTGGGGTCTCCATTTTATGGATGGAGGACAGGGGGCTTGGAACAGTCCCAGGTGAGTGCCATCGGGCTGTGTCACAGAGTGGAGACCTGACTCCCTGGCCCTTGAATTTAAGTTACCTTCCCCCGACTTGCCACTGCCCGGGGTGGCAGCAGGAAGCAGGGCGTAGGCCGCCCAGAGCCTGGTGTAGGCCAAAGGGTAGAGGCACCGGGACCTCCAGCGTCCCGGCGTTTGATGCTGCCCCTGCGGCTTCCTAGCTATGGAATTCTGGGAAGTCACTTAAGCTTCCCAAACCTCAGTTTCCTCATCTACTAACACATGCGCGGGGCCTGAACGCAGCAGTTTTTATGTATTTCCTTTTTTTTCTTTGAGTTGGAGTCTCACTCCATCGCCCAGGCTGAAGTGCAGTGGCATGCTCACGGCTACCCCATCATCAACCTGCTGGGCTCCGGTGATCCTTCTGCCTCAGGCTTCCAAGTAGCCGGAACTACAGGCGGGTGCTGCCACACCTGGCTAATTATTTATTTATTTATTCTAGAGATGAGGTCTGGCCAAGTTGTCCAGGCTGGTCTCAAACCCATGGGCTCAGGCCATCCCCTCACCTCAGCCTCCCAAAGTGCTGGGATTACAGACATGAGCCACTGCGCCCACCTGCATTTCCTTTTATTAAGGAAGGTAGGCCAGATGGTGGCTCACACCTGTAATCCCAACACTTTGGGAGGCCAAGGTGGGAGGATCACTTGAGTACAGGAGTTCGAGACCAGCCTAGGCAACATTAGCGAGACCTCATGTCTACAAATAAATCAGAAAATTGGAAATTAGCCCGGAGTGGTGGCGTGACTGTCGTCCTAGCTACTTGGGAGGCTGGGCAGAAAGATCACTTGAGCCCAGGAGGTCAAGGCTGAGGTGAGCCTTGATCCGTGCCTCTGTGCTCCAGCTTGAATAGAGCAAGACCCTGACTCAAAAAAAAACCCAAAAAACAAAAACCAGGCG